GGCATGAAGGTCACTCGGCCGCACTCCAGCGCACACACACACACACACACACACACACACTGTGACACACACACACACACACACACACTGTGACACACACACACACACACACACACAGTGACACACACACACACACACACACACAACACAAACATTATTTTCTTTCCTTTTCTACTCTTCTTCTTCTCATTCTAAGTATTTTCTTTCTTTTCTCCATTTCGGGCATTCTCTGGTCTTTCTTGTGTTTCTCCTGTCTATAAGAGAGCACCCTTAAGACATGCCAAATATTCAATGTGTCTTTGTTTGGAGTGCCTGCAACAGTAACAGGGGGCTGCTGTGTTGGGGATGCCTCTGTGACTGTGTCTGTGTTCCCTGGGTGATGACAGACTTTCGTGAAAGTGACTCCCTGGCTCCTGTGAACCTACAGTATGTTGAGTTCTACTTTTGGTGTGAGTACGTGATGATTATCTGCTTTGGTACGTGTTGGATGTGTGGACTGCCTTTTCCTTGCTGCTGTACTGCCCAGCAGCCCATCCACCTTCCTTGTCTTCCCTTTGTGCTCTTACCTGTTTGCCTTGCAGTTTGGCTGATTTGTGTCTCACTGCCTTCCGGTACTCGATGCCTCGCTGCCTTGTTACTTTGCTGACTTGTTGCATGTTCCTCATATTGCTTCCCTGCTGCTTGCTTTGTTGTTTGGCTGCCGTGCAGCACCTCACTGCTGTGTTGCCTCGCTGCCCTGTTGCTTCCCTGCCATGTTGCCTTCGCTGCCCTGTTGCTTCCCTCACAACCCCGTTGCATCACTTCCTAGCAGCCTTGTTGCCTCACTGCATTGCACCTTGCTGCTTTGTCGTCTCACTGCCTTGTTGCCTTGCTGCCATGTTGCCCGCTGCTCATCGGGTCACGTTGCTGCTTGCCTTGGCTGCCTTGAATGCCTCGCTGCCTTGCTGGTGCCTCACTGCCTTGTGCTTTGCTGCCTTGTTTGTCGCCGCTCTTCACTTCGCACTGCTGCTTGCCTTGTCATTTGGCTGCCTTGTAGATGCTCCCCTGTCACCTCACTGCCTTGCTGCCTTGCTGTCGTGTTGCCTGCTGCTTGGCATGCTGTTTGGCTGCCCACCCACATCGCCCGTGTCATCCAGGCTCCATTCTATGTCCCTGTGCCTTGTCGTTGCTCGTCATCCACTGCTTTTGTTGCCTCGCAATTGCCTTGGTGGTTGCCATCTCACCTGTTGGCTCCCCAGAGTCTCCACCCTCCTCACCATGCCCTCCAGCCAATGTGCTTTGCTGTTGCTTGCCACCTGGTGCCTTGTAGCAACCCCCTTGCCTCAGTGCTCCTGATGTCACTTGCTGGCCATCCAGTTACAACAGGGGTTGAATGAGATCATGACTCGGGAGTCGGAACAGCTTTATTGCAACCCCGCAGATTGTCGAGGGATCAGCTTATTGACGAGTCAGTGTCCGACCACACAGTCGTGTCATTCACCTCTGTTTTTTTTTTTTTTCTTCTTCTTACTGTATATTCTTCTCTCAATGTTTCTTATCTCCCTCTACCTACCCTGCGCTATGTACTTGGGTTTAGGATCCTCGAGTACAGAGTGAAGCCACCAGTCTTAAGTACACCGAGTAGGCCTAAACTATCCTAAGGTTATGGGTCTATGCCTACCTACCTAACTCTGCTCTGTGCATGAGCAGCGCCCAAGCTCCTAACACCTGGCACGGGCTGGAAAGTGACCATCGGCACTTCCACGACCAGCCGCGAGGGACAAGCTGACTTTTGTCAGTCAGTGAACCCGAAGAATGCCACAGGGGGTCGTGGGAAACCGAATTGATGTCGGCGACATGCCATGTGTCGTCCGTCAATGTTTCCAGGAAGGTGTCATAGAAAGTATGTGTCTCTGCTGTGCGGGCTATCCCCGATGCCATCGTCCACCACACCCTCTCTTAGCATGTCCCACATGCAATGTTGACCACACACCTGCTGCAATCGCAGTAGGATCCCCTTCATCCTTGCCAGACGAACGACAGATGCAGCAGCCTGAGGAGGAAAATAGACTACCATATGAACCGCCTACAGAGCGCTGTACTGAAAGCTTGCCAGGGCAAGATGTTGCAGACCAAATCGGATTGCCTACAGCAGCTGGCTTTGGATCAATCCCCGTCGTCGTCTGGCCATAGAAAAGGAATAAATACTGGGGAAACCCGCTCAATGACAGTGTGTAATCACCGACCTGAGATTCGGCTAGCATGCGGTTCGCATGCCTTGTGCGGTATGGAGTATGAAAAACTTATGAAGGGATAGCGTCTGCGAGTTTCTGCTTTCAAAAAAAA